CATGGAAGTTAGGTTGGTGTATGTGATACTTGAGAATTTTGGTTGAGATTTGGAAGAGTTGAAGTGAAAATTTTGAAGTGTATTTTGGGCAGAGTTGGAGTTAATTATGGAGGAGTTTATTCCAAATTTTTGGTGGCCTAAACTAGATAAGAAGTGTAGCCAAATTAGTGTTGATTTGTGCACAGAATTGTTTGATGAAATGCCAAAGAGAAGTGCATTTATGATTATGATTATGTGTACTTTGGGATGAGTTTGTAGATGGTAGAGAATGACATGTTTGCATTCCATAATGCATAATTGCATTTAAACATGTGAATTAGAAAGAATTATAAGCATGAAACCATCTACATGCTAACATCTAAGAGCATGAAAAAGCCCTAAAAATATTAAAGAGAAAATAGAAATAAATGAGAATATAAAGATATTCAAATCTGAAATTTTACCTAAAGAAGTAAAGAAAAAGAAGAGAAGGTTGTGCGACGGGGAGCCTGTGAGACATAGTCCTACACGCACCCCCTTTAGGAAACGCCTCAAAATTTAGAAAGAAGAATCATAAATCCGTTAGAAGTGCGTGTGGATAAGGAATGTACCCAGAATTAGAGAATTCACTCACACTACCAAGGCTCCAAATCCATGCCTCAACGAGTCCGATCGGCAAGAATAGAAAAGAAAGAAAGAAAGAAAGAAAGAAAGAAAGAAAGAAAGAATAGAAAAGAAAGAAAGAAAGAATGAATGAAGAATAGAAAAGAAAGAATGAAAGAAAGAAAAAAGAAAGAAGAAAAAGAAAGAATAGAAAGAAAGACTAGAAAAGAAAGAAACAAAATAGAGAAAAAGAAACAAAAAACAGAATAAGAAAATAGAAAGAAAATGCATACTTTATGCATTTGTGCATTTGCATCATGAATATGCAGAATACCATGCTTATTATCTTAAGTATAAAAAAATTAGAAAACAAGAGCAAAACAGAGAAAAAATGAGAAAGAATAGAGAAGAAAAGAAAGAACATAGAGAAAATAGAGAATAATCGGGAAATGTATGTAAGGAAAGAAAATTGAATTTAAGCAACAGAGAGAGAAGGGTAGCATAGCGAGTTTACACTGAGCAATTATGCTCACTCCGTTGTTTTAATGTTTTTGCAGGTAATAGGGTGGTTGGGTCTACAGAACGTCGCGTAGTGGAGGGTTGGGTACACTGTCACGTTGCTATTTTGAGTATATTTTGTAAATATTTGTATATAAAGAAAAATAAATATGGGCCCATACTTTATTACTCATATATATGTGTATTTTCTTAATACATTGTAATGAGTTTTATTAATTATTTTAGAGTATACTAGCTAGAAAGAAAGTATTACATAACACAATTCCCTATTTATTAAATAACTAGGATAAGATCTCTAGATTCAAAGTAATAAAAGCATTAAGTTGTGGGAGACCTACTGAATCCAGGCTAAACTCATATGGTCGGTTTAGTTATCTTGAGTGATTACCCTCATGTAGCAGGCATACACTTTACCACTAGTAATTTAGGTTAATAAAGCGATTTGTATTAAGCAACCTAAATTAGCATTAATAGATTAACCCTAACGATTTAATTGGCTACTTAAACAATTAGAACAATCTAGTTAAAACCCTATTTTTAGAGAAATAATCACGTAACCAAGAGGGATCAAAAGATAAAAAGATGCAGATTTTATTAATCACAAGACATGTCTAGGGTTTTGAAATCACCCTAATCACAAAAAAGATTAGTTCTGCATGAATAAATATGAGAACGTCATTTTATTATTCACAAAAACAATAATAAAAGAAGACGAAAAACTTAGTGAAACTTGTGGGATTAATGAGTCGATGATGATCTTCTCCAATTCTTCCTTCCAAGCCCTCTTTAATCTCCCTTTTTCTTTAGTTCTTGAATATCTTTATTCTCTCTTTATTATCTCTAAAGAATCCCCCAAAATAAAGCTAAAAGACTTGTATTATTTCTAAAAAGGGTTAGGGTTTTGTTTTTCTTAATTCTATTTTGTTCCTAGTAAAAAATGGAGAAAAATTTCCCGTTGTCGTGACTGTGCCCAGCACTTGCTATAGCATGGTTGATTCGGACTAAGTGTGTTGAGTATAGTGCTACAACATGGTTGGTTAGTCTTGTTGTGCTATAGTAGAGGTGCTCAACATAGTGTCCAATTCCTTTTCTGACCTTGCATCATTCTTCAACACCTAGAGATGGTAATTTCTAAGCATGATAATGATGAAATCTGGAAAAGTATTAAACTATGAAATTTAGCCCTTTAAATTAGTTTCCAGTGGTTTAAGAATCATCTTGACAAAATATCTATAGCTCAATTTATATCAAAACACTAGGCATGCTCAAATTGGAGCGTAATCTAGGATCTCCTCTTTATTTCAAAGCTCCATAACTTCTTCAATTCAACTCCTATTTTTGATATGTTTGTTTCTAGTCACAAAAATTCTCCGCCAACATCATCTCTCACCAAATGTTATTTTTAAGCTTTATTCCTTGAAAAAAACACAAAATAACGGTGATCCCGAAAAGTGCATTTATGAAACACCTATGTTAATTCTGCAAATTAATCCTAATTTCCACAAACGATGCCTATAAACCACTAAGTACAAGTGTATTTTCAAGCACTTATCAACTTAGGAAAGCTATTGTTGGAGCACAAGTGACATTAGGGGTATTAGTCTTGCGTTGTGCATGCAAAAGATAATTTAGAGGACAATGCCAAACCTATTAGAGAGATCCAAAGGAGACTAAACCTAATATGCAAGAGGTAGTGAGAAAGAAAATTTTGAAACTCTTAGACACAGGAGTAATTTATCCTATCTTTGACATTAAGTGGGTTAGTCTCGTTCATGTAGTACAAAAATAGGCATTGTGTGGTGAAAAATGAGAAGAATGATGTAGCGTGTACTGGATGATACTGGGTGGAGAATGTGCATTGACTATAGGAAACTAAATGTTGCCACTAAAAAGAACCATTTTCCACTTCCTTTCATTGATAAGATGTTAGAAAGATTAGTAAGGCATGACTTTTACTATTTTCTTGATGGTCTTTCAGCCAAGTTCCTATTACGCCAGAAGATCAGGGAAGACAACATTCACTTGCCTATTTGGGATGTTTGCCTCTAGAAGGATGCTATTGGCCTATGCAATACCCTCGCCACATTCTAAAGATGCATGCTGTCAATTTTTCGATATGGTGGAAAAATCATCGAGGTATTTATGGATGATTTTTTAGTCTTTGGAATCTCATTCAATGATTGCCTGCATAAATTGACTCTTGTACTTGAAAGATGCATAGAATATAATTTAACACTTAGTTGGGAAAAGAGTCATTTTATGGTCAGCATGGAATTATGTTAGGCATGTGATTTCTAGTATGGGTATTGAAGTTGATAAAGCAAAAATGAGTTGATTGCTAAATGCCACCCCTAACTTTGGTAAAGGGTATAGGAGTTTCTTAGGCCATGTAGGTTTTTATAGGTGATTCATTAAAGATTTTTCTAAATAAGTATCCATTATGTAACTTGTTATCTAAAGATGTTCCTTCTGTTTTTGATGATGATGCTTGATTGTTTTGATACCTTGAAAGAGTAATTAACGTTAGCACCTATTATCATGGCACCTAATTGGTCATGCCCTTTGAAATTAGTGTGATGCATATGACTATGCTATAGGGGCTGTTTTGGGGCAGAGAGTAGAAAGTGTTTACATGTTATTTATTATGCTAGGCAAACACTCAATGATGCCCATTATTATTCCGCCACCGAAAAAGAATTTTGCTATTGTGTTTGCATTAGACAAATTTAGTTTTATTTAATAGGGTCTAAGTCATTGTGCATCCGGATCATGCAACATGAGACATTTATTGACTAAGCCGAATGCTAAGCCAAGATTAATTAGGTGGGTTTTGCTTTTGCAAGAATTGACTAGAGATAAGGGATAAGAAGGGTAGTGAAAATGTTGTTGTCGATCACCTCTCTAGTTAATTTCTCACTTCAAACCACATGATCATAAAGAAAGACGTCGTGCTGAAGCTTTTCTTGATGAACAATTGTTTATGAAGTCGTGAGCCATGGTATGTCGATATTGTTAATTATTTAGCTTGTGGTGTATTGCAGCCTAACCTTACTTTTCAAGAAAGGAAGAGATTTATAACCAATTGTAGGCACTATTTTTGGGATAACCTTATTTTTTTAAGCTTGTCAAGATCAAATGATTTAGATATGTGTGCCTGAGGATGAGAATGAGAGATTTTAACCTTTGCCATGAACTTCATGTGGGGGTATTTTGGTGGTAAGAAAACAACTCTTAGGTATTTCAATTTTTTTTTTTTTTTGGGGCCCTCCTCTATTTAAAGATGCCAATAATTTTTGCTTGCATTGTGATAAGTTTCAAAGGAGTGGTAGCATTAGCAAAAGGAACAAGATACCTTTAACCAATAATCTTGTGGTTGAGCTTTTTGATGTATGGGGGATTGATTTTATGGGTCCTTTTAAATCTTCGCATGGTTTTGAATATATATTAATTGATGTTGATTATGTTTCCAAATGGGTTGAGGCTATACTTACCCAAACTAACAATGCTACATGTGTTGTGAAATTCTTGAGAGATGTGATATTCAATAAGTTTGGGATGCCAAGGGCAATCATTAGTGATAGAGGAAGTCACTTTTACAATACACTCTTTGATGGATAGTTGAAGAAATACAATATCACCCACAAAGTAGTGACTCTTTATCATCCTCAAACCTCAGGCCAAGTGGAGGTGGACAACAAACAACTCAAGGGAATTTTGGAAAAGGTAGTGCAACCTTCACGAAAGGATTGCGCAATAAAGCTAAATGATGCATTTAGACATATCGCACAATGTACAAAACACCTATTGGAATGAGTCCCTATCAATTGGTTTTTCATAAGGCATGCCATTTGCCCGTTGAACTTGAGCACATGGCCTGTTAGGCAATCAAGGAGCTGAACATGGATTTGGAAAAGATGGGTGAGAAGCATTTGCTTCAACTTAATGAGTTAGAGGAGATTTGGGATGAAGCCTATGAGAATGCCAAGATTTATAAAGAACGAACTAAGCGTTACCATGACAAAGGCCTAATTCGTAAGTCTCTTTACTTGGGAATGAAAGTTCTTTTGTTTGACTCTCGTTTTAAACTTTTTCTAGGGAAGTTAAAGTCAAAATGGAGTGGACCGTTTCCAATAGTTCAAATTTTTCCCCATGGAGTGGTCGAATTGTTAAATCCAAGGACTGATGAGACATTCAAAGTCAATGGGCATTGTATGAAGCCCTATTTGGAAGAAGTCCAGGGAAAAGGGACTATTGAGTGCATTCATGTGCACAATCCTTGAACATGAAAGGAGAAAGGTCTTGCCAAAATGTTAAAGAAAGTGCTTGATGGGAAGCAACCCGCCCATGCTTTCTTTGCAAACATTTAGGACAATGTTTAGTTTAGGTTTGGGGGTGCAAAAGAAAATTTGTTTTTTTTGTTGGTAACTAGATATTTTGTGTGATTTGTGTTTATTTTGTTAGCATTTTCAAAAGTTTGATATGTAAATTGATGCATACCCATGTTCCATAAACCATGCCCTTGATATTGAAGTTGAGATGAACGTAGAATTAATGATTAAGAAACAAATAGTAGAGACTACCTTGTGAGTTCTTTGAGCCATAAGCGTTTTAATTGAGAGGGTTAGTTTCTTGAACCTCTTACACACTTTTTCAAAATTTTACTTATGTTAGGATGGTCTCATTAGGCATTTATACTGGGTAGCTCCAAGTTAGAAGGACTTTAAGAGATGATGTTAGGCTATGCATTTTTTTCCCCTATTAAAAGCCTTAATCCACACCCTTTTGTGTGCACCAATTACAACTTTTGAAGCCAAACACTTAGCTTTTCCTCTCATCACCTATATCAAGCCTTACACATTCAAACCAATTTTAAGCCATACTCTATAGCTTGAGAATGCCAAAGTGATGAGACAAGTTAAGAAGGTTGAACTCCATATAAAAAATATGGTGAGTACCAAGGAAATGTTTGTTGTTTCTTCATTCATTCAAGAAAAGAAAAAAGTATAGCATCTTGGTCACCAAAATGAATTCAAAGAGGAGAGCTTGCCTTTCAAGTACAAATAAGAGGAAGCTTTGGTATGTTTCAAGCTCTAGTTTTTCCAAGCCTTTCTTTCTTAACCCTAACCGAGCCTTATGTTACAACCATAATAAAGACCTAACTGATCTTTTAGGAAATCTTGCTTGGAGATAAGGAATGTATGTCTATTCCATGTACTTCGTTCTTTTCATGAGACCCATTTTGTGAACATATGAGTGTTTATTGATTATACCCATATTCGTGTGTGAGAATATAGTTGCTATTCTTTGTCTATATAACTTCTACTCACACATTCTTGATGAGTGCGTAAGTCTAGGATCGGTGTGATATAATGAGTAAATCTTGTGAGATCTCGAGTTGAAGCGAATTAATCCTATTCTTGACATTAAGTTTGGGGGAGATCGAGACAGATATGTTTTGAGCATTAGAATATGGTAGCGTAGTGTGTACGATATTTGCATAAAATGCTTTGTTGTGCTAAGATTTTAAATACAATTGTGTGAATGTACTTAGTTGCTAATTATAGTGTACTTTAAGATTTGAGGTTTTAGTTGAGTTTTTCCTTCTTTCTTTAATTGTTGTTTTGCTTAAGGGCAAGCAAAATCTAGGTTTGGGGGAATTTGATAAACCAATATTTTCCTTGGTATTTTGTTATGTTTTTTGCTGTTATTGTGTGTCTTACCTTAAGGATATGTTACTTTGAGGTGGTTTTTACTATTTTGAGGGTATATGAGCTTTTGGAATGCATTTGGAAGAAATCGTGCAAAATGGGTCGAGAATCGGAGTTGAAAAGAGGAAGAAAAATGCGAAGCAACTGGATGGCGCCGTCGCAGAGTTTTTCTATGCTGCGACACTAAAAAGTTATCTAGGCAGAACGTTAGTGCTGCGGCGTGAAGAATTTGGCATCACGGCGTGAAAGAGTCTAAGGTTTGTGGGAAAATTTGGCGCCACTATAACACCCCCTCCAGCTGGGTATCCTCTAAGTATTTCTATAGGATGGAAACTTAGAGAATTCATGCCTGGAAGGTTGTGTAATTTAAAATGAAAATCCTGGTTACAAACATGTCCTATATGAAAATAAATAAATAAAAACTTCTCCTCTCATTTACATTACTTTCTTAATCAACCTGTCGAAATATGACTATATATGGGAAAAAAAAATAGTTTAAAGAAAAGAACTACATCAATTGTTTAATAGAGGAAGCAAATATAAGATATCTGCCATCATTTTTAAGCAAAACATATTCATTATTTCATAAAACTTAGATTATAGACATTAAACTATATACATTAAATTAAAAAACAACATCCTTTATATAACATCATAAGTTTAATTATAACAAAAGTCAACATGCGTGCCCCCAAGCCTCTTTGACTGCTGCTCGCCATTACTGCTTTAACCATTACATGCAGAACATGGAAACTAGGGAAATAAGTGCTAATCACTTAGTAAGGGTATCGATCATTAACCTTATATAACATTCTTAAACTTGGAAAGCATCTTATTTACTTGTAGATGAACCAAACATTAATAATATAAATGTAATATAATATAGCATATTCAGTTCATATCATAATGCATAATATAATTCATGTAATGCTTTCCTTTAATGTTCATGAATGATGCACTTCAATACCATGCATGCATCAATACATTTTTTTTGGAAAAATTTTACTGTCTGCCAGTCGGACTAAGCTGAGGCATGGATTACAGAACCTTTGGCCAATGAGCTAACCTTAACTTATAACACAGTCCCCATGGTCATGCATGCTAGGGATTGTACATTTCTTTTGGTCTAGACATGTGCATGAGTGAGCTCAAATTCCCCATAACATGACAACAGCTCTATAAAGCTTAAAAATCATTTTGTTCACAAAAATGCATGTCTATGTACCTTGAAAGCATTTTGCTCAAACTTGGGATCAAGTCCCCCTTTTTTCATCATTAATATGTTTGACATGCTTTATTCTTTAAAAACATACACTTTCCGTATATGACCATATCATTTCATCATGACCATTTCATGCATGCATAACAAATTCATAGAAACATATCATATTTAGGCTTGCTTATACATAAAGAAGCTCATAATTAGGTAATACTTAACATATTACACATAACCTCCACGGTCATTCATTACATCAAATATATATGTTCATACAATCATTAAATAATGATAACTCATTCAAACATGCTTCAAAACCCTTGGAGCATTATTTCTATACTTGGAATCAATCATAGATTATTAGGCAAAAATATAAATTAAGAAATTGGAAGCACTTTTGAGGTAGTCATGCTGTGTAGGTCATATTCATGAAGGTATATCTCAAGTTATATACATCTGATTGATATGATATTGGTCTCGTTTTAAAGCTCAAAGAAATAGCTACAACTTTTATGTGTAAACCTCAACCTAGTTCGATAGGTAAGATGCCCAAAAATCACTCAGAAGGCCACAGACTTGATAGTGGCAACCATGGTAACATCCCAAAAATCGTTTTTTTTTAAAGGATTTTCCATACCTATTTACCTCCACTTACTCCCTAACCTTTTCTAACCATTCTCCCATGTGAAAACATGTTAAATGATCAATAATAACCTCCCTTGTAATATGTTAAAAGCTCATGATACAACCATTTCCATTAATTGCCATCAAACTTCAATTTTCTACAGTTCACATATAAATCCATCCATTGCAAATTATAGCATCAAACCAAGCTCAATTTCTTTTGTGTGACGAGAATTAAAGTTTCCTAATACTAAACCTAGAAATCTAATTCTTATTTCATATCAAAGGGAGGTTTCCCTTATCATGTGTGAACAAACCACACTCATTTGCAAATTTCCTCCTCCTTATCTCCAATTGACTTTTTATCCTCCTAATATCCTTAATAAAGGAAGAAATATAAGACATTTGAAAGATTGCAACTAAGAAGCTTGAAATTTTAATGGAGAAAATAGAATTAATGGAGAAGTATTGAAGAAGATGATGGAAAGTGGAAGAATACATATGTTGGCCAACTTATACAAACTAGAATCAAGTTTTTTTTGCAAGTTTATTCATTTGTCTTTTGCATTTAATGACTTATAACATTATTTCCCTTTTTGCCCTTAATAATCTTCTTTTAATTACTCCTTAATCCTTCATCATCTTTATCTTGTTAAGCCAACAAAATATCATCACTCTTTTACTACTTTACCCCTAAGGCATGTGCATGGTAGTTAACTTAGCACGTAAAAATAAAAAAACTATTTTACTCTTGGACGTAGTGGTGGGGTTTATAGCCACGATGCCATAAAATGACATTGCGGCATGGATCACGGAGAAAATAAAATTCTCACATTTTCCAACTTTGACTTGAATTTGTACTTCCCCAAAAACACCCTTAGCAAAGAAAAACTATAAATAGGACAATGTAATTTTTTTTTAGAGAGGATTCTCTTTGACCTAATTTATAAGTTTTATGTTTTTGAGAATATTGCTTTATTGAGAGAAATAGTCAATTTTCAACAAGGAGAGAAGGAAAAGGATCAATCTACTTCAATTCCTAGGTGATTTCTTTTCAGTTACATCTTATTTTGAAATATGATTAGTTTTTCGTTTATTGAATTCATTGGTTTGAGTTTGATTATTAACACCTAAAAATATTGTGGGAGTTTGGTTCAACCATCATGACTGAATTGGGTATTTAGTGATTTGTTTTATGAAATTTTTTTAATGTTTCTTGTTTAATTGTTCTTCATGATATTAATTAGAATTTGTTGATTGGCCAACTACTTTTTATAATTAAAATTGAGAATTAGGGTTCTAGTGATCATCTTGCCTTAACTAAGCTTTATTAAACAAGAATTCAAATCGAATACATGATCATTATTTTGATTTGCATGGTTGTGTGATTTCCTAGTGCACACTACGATTAATTAGTTAACAACTTGAACATAGAAGTTAGTATAAATAAAAAATAAATAGCATCATTGGAATTCTCTATGGCTTAGTGGAAAAATCAATAATCTGAATATTGGGTTTAATTGTTTTATTTGCCAAATATTACAATACATGATTTAGAAGTTAGTTATATCCCTACTATCACTCTCATTTATTTAATTCACATTCAACAGAGTGCATCTGTTAGTTTTAATTAATTTACAGTTTTATTTTAGATTAATTTTATCCATCTTTTGGTTAAGAATGTTTAGGATTTTATCAATTGTTTAATTTAGTTGTTAAAGAAAATAAATTA